AGAACAAGCCTTCAGGCCTGGCTGAAAGATGAGGCCTCCCACCCCAAACCTGACTGCCAGCCCCAGTATCACACCCATTCTTCATCCCCATCACACCCTTCCCTTCCCTCCCCTCTGTTACTGACAGTGGTTCTTAGGCTTTCGTGTAATAGAAATTGGCACAAGGCTGAACAAATTCCAGACAAAGCTTTGTTAGGGGCTTGTCCAAGAGAGACAGCTCAGGAGGAAAAGGTCCCCGACTGGCTCTCTGAAAGAGGCCAGCCAGAGTCTTTTATTAGATAAGGGAAGGGGTTCTCCATCAAAGGAAAGGTGTGTTAGTATGCTTAAGGAAGGTTAACACATACTTCTAAGGAGGGCTAACATATACTTCTTCATACGTCGCATGTACAAAAACTGGCGAATAAGCCCTGCCTAGAGTGGAAATGTTAGCATCATAATGAAGCAGGGGTTAGGATTGATCACCTTTTTTGGACTTGTGAGTATGCAGGCAGAGGGGTTAATCCTTTGCAAGATTTGTGGCAAAATGTTGCTTATCTTGGTTTCTTCAGATAACTTGCAAAGTGGTGGTCAGTGGGTATGTGTGGAGAGATGGAGAGATACATTCGAGAACAGTTCCGTCTCTATTCTGTCTCACCTCCCTCCCTTTCCTTGCCCCTTGATGAGCCTCTCGTCTGAGGTCAGGAACACCAGCAGGACCAGCAGCAAGCATGGGACTTTCAGGGCCAATGTGGTCTTCTCCTTGTGCTGGGGTAGGCATCTTGGGGGCTCTGAAAACACTCTGCCCAGATGCCTCATCCCATCAAGGGAGAGGATCAAGACAGGTAAAATCTGCGACTGGGTAAGTGCGAAGCCTGTGGACAGAGGAGAGAGTGGAGGCCACTGCCCAGCAGTCCAGCTCCCCAGGCATGGCGTACTCCCACCCCCCAGCCTGGCTTTAGTCCCCACCCAAAGGAACCTCCTCTCTCCCTGCCATGTAGATTCTTTCCTCCACCATCAACACCCTGGAAAAGGACAGGATAAGATGAGTCCAGGTTCAGGGGCTCCTAAGGCCCTTTGGTCCCCAGGGAGGGCAGAAAGCTCATTCCAACCAAATGTCCAGATATGCAGGACACAACCAATGCTGAGCTAAGTGAGTGGATGTGAGGTCAGGTCCACATGGATCCAATCAGAACTTGACCAGCTCCTGTGAATGTGACACTTGTGTCTGTTGAGGAGTGGGCTGGGGAGAAAGGAGCCCAGACTCACTCAACTCTGACATCCTAGGCTGTCAAGATCCCCTGCATGGGTCCCCAGAGCAGAGGTCACAAACAAGAAGCCACAGAGGGAGGTAACTGGACATCCCGAAATGGATGGGAAAGAAGGCATAATGTGTCCCTTTTATAGACAGAGAAACTGAACGCTAATCTGCCTGCGGATGCATTCTGGAAAAGGAGAAGAAAATGAACCCCCTGGAAACACAATGTCTTTGGCTCCTATGAGCACAATGAGGTTGAGAAAGGAGATTGCAGAGGCTCTCAAGATCCCTGAGGTGCCTTCTCAGAGGGTGGGCAGAGAAGTTCAACCTCCGGGCTAGGATTGGTGGCTCAGCCTGTAATCCCAGCACTTTGGGAGGCCCAGGCGAGTGGATTGCCTCAGCCTGCGGGTTCAAGAGGTTCAACCCCCTAGAAGCCCAGGTCTTCTGACAGGACTTCTGACTGTGCTTCACCTTGACCATGGCTCTTTGTCCCCATCTCTTGAGAGACTTCTGAAGGAGCCCCCAATTCCACCACAGCTATCTGCCCTGGCGCCTCTTGCAAGAATTCAACTTGTGACGGAAGCTGTTGTAAGATCCCCAAGAGCAGGGCCAACTCTACCCCAGATCAGGGGTTTGAGACTAAGCCCAGGATCTTCCATCCCTAGTTCCCATACCTGGGCTCCAGGTCCCAGATACTAGAGGAGATGGAGGGTGCAGATGGTTCCAGCAGAGTCCTCACTGGGGGTGCCTCAGCACCCTAGTCTATGCAGAGGGTGTCCGCCCACTCACACGGGTGTGGAGGCCACCACACAGAAAGAGGAATCCCACCCTTTGAGAGCTTCTTGTCACCTGGGGGCAAGGACAAACTCTGACACAGCCAAGAGCAACGAAGAGCTGGCCACAGAGAGACAGAGCTAGTGGTATATAGCAAAGGGTGCTCTTGCAAACCTACAGGGAGGAAGTAACACTTCTCAGGGGTCAGCAATGGCCAGTGAAGGGGGAAATCAGCATGGGAAAACAATTGCTAACACCTTCACACTTAGTGACACACCTTGGGTCATCTGGGGGCCAAAGCCGCTTCCCTCCCTGTCAGGAGGGTGCCCCTGACCCTCATTTGGTATGTAATTAGGTCCAGAGAGGGAATGCTGTACTCCACTGATGGTGAGAAAAGCTCTCATGCTCTCACCTCTGCATGTGCATGCAAGTCTGTGGGAGTCTCTACCTCACCCCTGGTTTCCTGTCCTGTCTGTGGGTCAGACTTTAGCAGAAAGGCTATGGGTAGAAGTCAGGAGATCTGTTTTTGTAGCACCCACTTACTCACCATGTGACTTTAAGCAGGTCACTGACCATACCAGGGCCTCAATTCTCAGGTCTGTGGGAAAAAAAAGTAATACCTCCCTCACCTCTGTGGGCTTGAGGAAGAAAGTACACGGACGTGCCTTGTAAACCGTAATTGCTGACTTCTGGCTCTTGAAGCTTCAGCCTGCATTCCCACCTTGGTCCCTTGGGCGCTGACATCTGATATCCCTGCCGTGTCTCTTTTTGTCTGTTGCTCTGCCCTTCTTATCCTCCATCTCTGCTCATTGCTACCATAAGGAGAAGAGCGTGGCATCTAGGGAGAGTGGGGAGCAGGAGGCCATGGTGGGCAAAGCTGTGGACTTAGAATCACGTCCACTGAATCCTTAGAATCACGGGTTGCAATTCCCATTTCAGTCATTGCCTCTGTACCGAGTTCCCCGCAGTAGATGTCAGACTGACAAGAGTCTCCGGTGGTGCAACTGCAGTGACACACAGCCTCTCCACTGCTCCTAAGATATATCATCTCTCTCTTTATAAATTGCATCTTTTTAGCCAGGCTCGGTGGCTCAGCCTGTAATCCTGCGCCTTGAGAGGCTGAGGTGAGCAGATTGCCTGAGCCCGCGGGTTTGAGACCCGCCTGGGCAGCGAGACCTCATCTCTACAATAAATCAAAAAATCAGCCGGGCGTGGTAGCACATGCCTGTATTCCGGCTACT